CCCTGGGACTGCCTCCCTGGGGGGAACACCAGTACTGACCCCCCCAGTGCTGGCCTCTGGCCCTTTGCCCTGGGGACCCCGTTACTGACATCCCTGGGACTCTCCCTGGTCCCTTCCCCAGGGTGCCCGACCCCTAGGGCCCTCCCCTGGCCTCATCCCTGGGGCACTGCTGGCTCAGCCCTAGGGCTGGCTCCCCGCCTCCCCAGTTCCCTCCTGCCAGGTTGACCCCAGGGCTGCCTCCATCCCCTCGTCCTGGGGTGACCCCAGTGCTCCCTTACTGTACCCAACCTGTGGCCGATCCTGCTTCTCCCGAGCTCTTGCACAATCCAGCCCATGACCCCCCAGTCATGCTTCCTCCCCGAGGTGACGCTTTCTGAGTAGCCCTCATCCCGTCCTTGTCAGCCCAGCCCTTGTCGCCTTCCGTGCCCGAGGGTGTTGGGTTGGGAAGAGCGCCTCCGTGCCCGTACCACAAGGGGATGGGAGGACCTTGGGTGTTTGGGTAAGTGCTGTGGGAAGGGCTGTCTCCCCCCTCCCCCCAACAGGGCCTGTCCTTGGTGGAGAGAAAGCTGCTGCGTGCAGGACTTGTTGGGCTTGGTCAGAGGGGAGCTGAGCAGTAAACATCTACTGCAGAGCTCGGTGGCATTTGCGGATGCACAACGCTTGGATGTACTTGGCCTCTGTGGTCTCCGTGTCCCTTCTCATGAAGGGCCAGGTCTATAAATGGATAATTCCTGTAAACAATTTCTTTCCCTCTGGGGTGCTGTGAACCGTTACGTCCTGCTGGTCGCAGAGCATCAGCTGGTCCCTGCGTGGCAGGGATAAGCAAAAGGTCTGGGAATGGTATTTCCAGGGATGCATGTGGTGTTGACCTGTGTGAGCTGAGAGTTGCTTCACAGCACTGCCCGAGAGCATCGTGCCTCTTGTTGCTGAGGTGGGGGGAGTTGTTTACAAAGCGACAGCCTGTGTCTCAAACGGCTCAGAAACTCATCCGGGGATGAGAGTCATTCATTTTTGGCTTCATTTTCGAGCATTTTTCAAGCTGTCACAGCTTGGCAGGTCTGTAGCTGCAGTGTCAAGATTTAGAATTATTCTGTCGGTAATTGCTTTCTGATTCATCAAAATGATAGATGAGAGGGAAAATGACAAATAATCACAAGTTGGGGATCTTCAAGGATATCCCTAAAAATGCGACTGGAAAAATGTGGCATGCGTGAGTTCCCTTGTCAGGAGGTCACCTTTGCTGTCAGAGCATTTACAAAGAAATTCTCTTGAATTCAAAGTTGGAAAAACTGGGTAACTGGAAAACTAGTCCATGAGCTGCATTGCAAAAGTTTTTTTTAGGTAATTCAGTCTTTGGCCTTTTTCACTGAACCTGAAACCAGATATTTTAGATACCTGTCCTTTCCAAGAGTGCTGAAAGCAAAATTCAGCTTCTGTACTTAACTGCCTTACCTGAAGAAGGGGGATGTGCTCCAGCACTTGTTTTTTTCCTTCAGCTATATCGGTTTGTCTAATAAAAGCTATTACTGCTCTCCTACTCATACCCTCAGACTACCACAGCTACATGCGCTCTCTTACTTGTCTTGTTCCCTTAGCTACGTTTGCAGAGACTCTTTTTGCCACAAGTCCCTTCGTTTTCAGAAGCATAGTGGGAGTTGTGTGGTTACATCTCTTACATCTTTTTTATTTTCTTTAAATGTTGGAGGTAGGTGACTCATCCTAACTCCAGCTGATATTTCTCAGTGATCTCTTATTTAGCGCAGTGGATCAGGCAGAAGATGCATCGCGCAGTCAGAGGGGAGTTGGTGATACCAGCGTGGATTAAAAAAAAAGACTGTGAGGCAGTTGCCTGTTGCTGTCTGCTTTTTGTTTGAGTGGTAAAGGTTTACAGTCTCTCTCTCCAAATATAAAGTGACCCTGCATAGACTCGTGTATTGAAGGCACAGGCCTCTCCAGTACTCATCCTCGTCATGGTGCCAAAAAGCCTGTCTGCGTAAGTGTTCGTCTTCTGATAAAAAAGAGTGCTCCCCGCCTAGACAGAGTCGTCTTATGGTGGCAGTTCTTGGCAGCTGGGTAGGAAGCTTCGTTCATCTCTCAGGGCAGAGGGCAAAGAAGCTGTTTGGAGCAAAAGATAGGAAATGGAGAAAGCGTAATAAGGATATTCCAACAAGAGCTAAGTGCAGCTCAGCTGGAGCAGAACAACTTTGTTTTGCTAGAGCCAACGCTTTTCTATAAGCAGCACTTGTTTTTGTTTCTCTTTTCCAGACAGACATTTGTGGAGTCTGCAGTGATCCTTGCAATCACTTATGAAACTGCACATGCAATTTATACAATATTCTGTCTTCACAGTGCTCAGCAAACCTCTAGTACCAATCATTGTTCACCAGGATAATCATCTTTTTCCTCTAGGCATGTGCGTGCATGTATTTGCAGGGAAATGGGGGCAGAGAGGTTGAGAGAGTTTTCGAAGGCTACAGATAATCGGGAGGGGATACATATATTCCTCTCTTAGTCTTGTCTTGCTGCCTCTGACTGTAGATGGGGAGCGTGTTGCTGTTCTTAGCGCTAATGTGGATTTTGAACTTCTTGCCTCTTAGCATTTTTACACAAAACTGCTGCTTGTCTGCAATTTTGTAGTGGTAGAAAGGGAGGTCTAGCTCGGTACTGAGTAATGTAGGGTCCTTGTTGCATCTTCTCTTATATTCTTATTTTAGATTCGAGCAGCACATTTGAGCTATTTCAGTGATCTTGAAGGAAGGCAGAATGATCCTGTGGAAGAACACTGGTCTGGGAACCAGCCAGCTTGAATTGCATTCCCATCCCTGCCATTGTCCGGTGTGTAATGATGGGCTTGTTGCTTAACTGCTCTCCACGTGTTTACTTCTACCTTAGAGCTAATAATGTTCAGTCTGCTTTGTTAGGCTCTTTTAGAGCATGATCCAAGAAGTACTGAATGTTGTCGTAAGTCGTTTGCTCCACTGAAAGGCAAACATAGAAGGAAAATGATGGTTTAACTTTGTGAGCCATGCTGCTGCTCTCATTCACTGAGATCTCTTCCTGGTCCTCTTGTCTGAGTCCTTTTTGATCAAAGCAGCTATTGCTTGCTGTGCAGCTCTCTCCAACAGTCTATAGGCTGGCAAGGGATGGAGCCACTGAAGTACTAGCTTGTATTGCGTGGGCACCTGCCCTCAATTGTGCTGCTCACAGAGCACTCAGGCTTGCACTAATAACGCTCAGCAGGTTCCTCCCTGCTTGTCAAGTGCCCTCTTTAATACGAATGGTTCAGGCAGGTCTGTGCAGAGGACTTCCGGAGTCTGCTTCTCATTGAGAAATCCAAGCTGAGAGATAAGCCTGTGGTCTTGTTTCCAGCATACCTACTGCCCTTGACTGTGTTTTCCGTTCCTGCAATGCTTGTGCAGCCTTCCACAGAGCTGCTGTTCTGAGAGCAAAATAGCATCCTTTGAGAAACACGCCTTTCCCCCGTGTTTTACTGAATGGAAAAGCTGGCAAATGGTTGTGCTGCTGTGGTGTCTTGTTCTTGCTTGCGAGTTTCAGCTTGATTCACTTCCACATCCTGGTTTGTTCTGCATCAGGAAAGTGAAAGTGTGGGACTGAGGAGAGGAAGCTTGGGGCTGTGACAGAGGGCAGGAGACCTGCTGTGAAATGAAGGTTTGGATGAGTTTGCTGATGAGCTTTAACAGAAGCTGAGAGAAGATTGCCTCATTGCTTTGGAGCAAGAACGTTCGGAGTGGCTCGTCTGTGCTGCTGTTCCCCTGAAACCCCTTTCCAACAATTTGCTATAATAAAGTATTCTTAACTAGACGAGTGGTGACTCGTACGTGTGGCTCCCAGTAACACTAAATCCACCACGCTCTATAATAAGGTTCTAATGCCTGGGGTATTTTGTCTAAAAATAGTAAAAAAGGATGACTGTTAGGGGAAGTCTAAACCAGAGGGAAACAAATGGCTTTTAATCTTTCCCTCCATTTCAGAGTGAAGGATGCCGAGGAAGAAGAAACCCACGGAGGGCCTTGACTCTCGAGGTCAGGATGGGGAGGAAGAGGAGGAAGAGAAGAGGGGCACAATCAATGCCAAGAAGAAGCGCAGTTTTGTGGACGCGTTTATTGTTATATCTGACAGCGATGGAGAGGTCAGTGGTCAGAATGTGGAGACCAGAATCTGTGCGGGGCCTTGCTGTTCCAGGAGAGTGCCTGAGCATCCCACACTGTACGTGCTGGGGTCAGACTTTGCTCTGCACGTGTTGTGCTGTTCCTCTTACATATGAGATGAGTCAAATCCTATTTAACTAGGAAATGAATGGTGTGCTTGGTGAGGGTGAGTTAGGAGTCTGGGATTTGATAACCAAATCCTCTCAGAACTGAATTTGAAACGTAATTTAAAAGAAACCTTTCCTCAATCCCTTTACAAATCTTTTTTTTTCATAATTTTTATTTGATTGATTTCCAGCTAAACCACAGAAACAGGATTCTGTATTATGTGCAAATAGATAAGAAAACGATTCAGAACATAGGCTCGCAAGTAGTTCAGAACACAGCTGGTGTCTGATAAACCGATCCTGAATTGTGGAGTTCTGATTTCGTTAACGCACTTCCCTAGGGTTTAAAGGTGAACTGCAGGTGTCGGTTTGCCTGGCCAAGACCTAAGGGCCTGGATCATTCATCCCGAACGTTTTCTTATATCAGCCTTACTCACCCTAAAAGACTGACATGCCTGTAACTGTTGCACTCATCTTGCGGTGCTGTTGTTTGGGGGAAATCCAGAGCCCTGAGAATCTGGCCTCAACTCAAGTGAGGTACGTGAGAGGAAATTATTAGAATGAGTTCTTTCTGTATGGCTGCTAAGGCTTTGCTCTATCTTGCCTGTGATTTGGGATCCTAAGCTGCTTTTTGTAATTCCACCATTTTCAAAAGCATTTCAGTTCACTCTCAAGCTGTAGATCTTAAATCAAGTCCCCTTCACTCCCACATCTGGAGCATGAGTCTCTACAATAAGGCGATTATCATGTGCGAAGGGGAAGAGCACTAGAAATAAACAGTAAAAAGCTGTAGGGCAAATGATATTGGAGTTTTTTTCTTCACATTGTCTGAGTTCTTTCCCATTGGGAAATTCCCTGAAAGAAATGGAACATATGGCAGTAATAGTTCATTGGGGTTAAACCCTTAGCTCTGCAATATGCTAAGTTAACTTCAGATGTCTGCTGCATCGCTGGCCTTTATTGTGAAACCTATAAGGAAAAGAAGAAATCAGCAGCTATAAGAGATGCTGCAGTACATAAAAGATCAGGACCCGTTATTGTCTACAGTTATTCATCTCAATGTGCACGTATCTGAAAAAGAGGAAACAAACGTCTCTTAAAACACATCTATAAAAAGGTTAGGCTCCCTGACTGTTCTGTAAGTTTGTCTATAAACGATAAATTCTGATGGCATAATCGGTCATATTACAGAAAAGGATATGCTCAGAGAGGCCGTTAAAGAGCCAATTAGGTTCTGTTTAAGTGACAACAGTTCAGTCAGTTGAATAAGTGGGTTTATTCAGTTCAGTCTCTTTCTTCCTGTGAGTCATCAGCTTCCAGAGCCACAGTCTCTTGCAGTGGTGTTTTCCAGAAAAAACAACCAAAAATTTGATTTACATGGGATCTCAAAAAATAACTGTCTGGCTTCTGTAACTGTCTCGGCTTTTCAGCGTGCATCAAGTTGAATTTCAATCTCAAACCTTGTAACTGTTGTTCTTGCTCTAGTAAGACCTTGTTATGTGTTCAAGAAGAGGTGTGAGAATCTCAGATCAATAGCAATTTTAGAGAACAATACATTCTCAATTAATCTTGCATCTGTTACGACATGGTTCCTTATGAATCAAAACCTGCAAGGACAATCTGGGCATCACTGATTCAATGGCTTTCTTCCTTGGCAGTGTCTTGGCAGGTATCTATAGAACAAGTCCCTAGTTCTGCTTCCAGACCAGCAGATCTTGTAGCAGCTGCACCTGGAAAGCCTCCAGCTTCTCACTTTTGATGATCTTTGGCAGACTGCCTCTCCCAGGAATCTTTCAGTCATGCTGGATTATCAAGCTCATCCATGTTATTTTGCCAAGTTTTCTTTCTTTGCTCATGCCTATGCTGTGGCATCTGTGGAGCTGCATCAGAAGGAAGTTTTCTGGACATGGGGCTTTCTGATCTCTGTTGTATCTAATCCTGGATTCAGGGAATGCGTCTCTCTTTTGGTTAGGGTCAGACAAATTAAGAACAGTCTATCTGACTCTGTGGAAACAAGAGGAGATGACCTTCACCGTGTGCAGACAGGGTCTCTGAAAGCACAGACGTGATGAATGAATAAAATGGTTTCTGTCTCCCTTGACTGTTTGAATCTTGCAAGGAATGCCAGAGGAAAGGTGGTCATTCACTTGCTCTCAAATACACAATATTCCAAGTAGGGCCAAGGAAAGCTTTCTTCAAGCACAACAGCTACTCTGGCCTGTCTCCTGACGCTCCTGCTTGAATTGTGGTGCTGATAAAGACGCTTTGGCCTCCAAGCTTTTCTGGAGCCACGTCTGAAACGTGATTTTCACCCAGCAGGGGGTCTGGTCAGGCATGAACGTTGAGCGTGGCTAGAGGCCAAATAGTTGTGCGAAACTATTTGACTGATCTGCAGCCTTCAATGCAGTTGATCCTAAAAGACTGCTGATCTGCTGGGGGAACTTGCAGAAGGGTCACACAAGGGTGATTTAATCCATTTCTCTTAGATCCTTTGGGAACCGAGAGGGTGCCTGCTTCCACTTGTAGAGTTTGCATGAAGTCTTGCAGGCTCATCCTGCCGGATCTTCTGTTCATCACTTCTGCCAGCCCTTGGGGTACAGGACGAGACTCCAGGCTGACAGCGGCGTCTACTTCTGAACGGAATGCGGTGCCTGTCTTGGTTTAGATGCTTGATTATTCCTGTGTTTGGAGATACTTAGTGTCTGGGTAAATAGCATTAAGTTTATTGATGTTTCAGATAAGACTATGTTGGTCTTGCTAGAAAGAGGGAAGCATTTTTGGGCATTGGCTGTAATAACTGGCCCATGCCCTGTCCTAGTCTCTGTCAGATGTGACAGTGGGCATTTTGTCTTGGGACCAGGCACAGCCTGATGGCCCTCTCTCCAGTGGAGGTCTTGCTACAGAGACGATGGTGCTGAAAGCGTCACAGCTAGGATAGCGGTGCCCGCGTTACGCTGCTGCCTATCTTCTTGTGAACCAGAACCATATGAGAGTATCACTGCAGCACCCCGCTGTCCCTGTTGGTTTCTTGTCTCTGCTGTAATACCAAGGGAGTCAGTGCCTCCGATCCCCAAGAGAAAAATGCAGTCTCAGGTGTGCTCTTGAGGAGGCTTCTCGGCTTTGCTGCATTTTCTCATTGGCAGTCGGAGCGGGTCTGAACCAGCCTCCTGACAGCCCGGTAAAAGCCCTTTCTTTCCACACAGGCCTCCCTCCCGTGTGTCTGAAACTACAAGTCTGGCATGAGCCCTGTTGTGTCTCATTGTTCAAGTCTCCGCTTCCAGGAGGTTTGTTCTAATGAGCTGAAAGATGGAGCAGAGCTGAAACAAATTCTGAACTGAAGTCAGAGACTAATAAAGTAGGGTGTTATATTAATTTCAGCAGCAGCCTTGGCTAGAGCCAAAACGTGGCGCTTCCAACATCTAATTGGCTTTTAAAAATAATTTAGTCTGGTTGTCATCTGCGTATTTCCCATGCAGGGTGTGTGTTGTTTGGCTGTGCCCTATTGTTAGATGGACCCAACTGCTGTTGAACGGTGAAATTAAGCAGACCTTTTGACTCTGCAGTCTGTGCTGTTAACTATGGAGACGTTCTTTTGTAGCCTTTCCTTTCCTGAGTTAGTAGGAGCTGATTTCTGTCATTTATAATGTGGATTCAAGGGAGCTGGATGTGGGAGAGTGGCTACTAGATTCCATTTGTGGGCTTTTAGGAGCGAGTAGAGCTGTATATTTTATGCCGACAGAGTCGGGTCCTCTAAGTATGTGCCAAAGTGCTTTTAAAATGAGAGTTTACTTTTCTGCTGTCTGTTGCAACCTAGCAGGTTAAAAAAAGGAGGAAGAATAGTGGCTGCCTTCCATTAAATGTGCAAAGAACTTTAGAAACCTGCCTTTTTCTTGATCTGTGTACGTTGTTGACAGTGAAATTGCTCATAGGAGAGCATCATATATTAAACTGCAGAGCATGACACAGAGAAAGAAAATTTGGATTCCTCCTGGCCGTTATGCTTTAAATTGATGACAATGGAGGAGAGACGCTATCCAGACTGGCACTGAGCAGAGGTGCGCGGTTCCCACCTCACCTCAGCTATAATAATTGGTTTCCTCTGAAAGTTGTGTGTTGGAGATGACCTTGTAACTAAGAGCATTGGTTGCAGTTTGGGAATATTTTAATTGATTAAGATTATTTTTGGACTAGTGATCTTATTAGAAAGGCAGTTGGTTGAGTGGCCCCCTGAGTTCCTATTATCCTTGTAGACAGATGAGCATTAAAAGGTTGGGTCAGACAGAGCAAGCCCTGTTGTCTTCTCTGAATTTTCTTGGCCCCTTCTGTTACTACCACCCATGTCTGCATTTATGCAGAGCACTCTGGGGCCTGTGGGGCAGTCTCCCAGCAGAGGTACAAACAGCCATAAATCCTAATTAAAAGGTATGTTTTATTTTCTAGTTTTAAAAATAAAGACTTAAGAATTCTTGGAATTGAGATGTGTGTGTATATTTTGGCCCATCAGGATTAATTGGATTTGCTTCAGCAGTTCCCTGTACTGTAGCTGTTCAGTAGAATGCTGCTAAGCAATTTAAACATCTTTCTCAAATGTATGAGGTTCATACAACACGTGTCCTGCAATAATTTGTTCCTGGAGCTGTTGTAAACGTCGACATTCTTCAGGAGCCAGCATGGGGAACAGAGGTATGTACTCCACTGAGCAAGGAAACCAGGCAGTTCTCCTGGGACCCAGGCTTGCCGTTAGCCGGAAGCCCCACAGGAGTTTGAGCCCTGTACTGTCTTGTAGCGCGTATTGTAAACGTGTGTCTCTGTACACACAGCAAACATTGGTAGCCATGGAAAGTTTGGTGTGCTCGTAAATCACATCGGTGTCCTGCAAGAAAGCTGCGGATGAGAGTGTCAGGGTTGACCTTCCGGCAAGCGCAGGAGCAGTAAGGGGAAGATTGATGCCTAGAGAGAAGAACTGGGGATTTACAGAGCCTGCTAGGATTAAATTGCCCCATCTTAAGCAGGAGTAGCACAGTTTAGCGCTGTTGGACAGCGCTTAGTGGGACAGCTTTTGCCTGACGTCCTCCAGTGTGTAATTCGGAGTAACATGATTCGGACGCGATTCCACAGACTCTTCCCCACTTCTTTATGTGTGAGCAACCCACAAGGTCAGCATGGCGGGGTGCCACCTGCAAACCATGGCAGGGAAATTTGCAGGTTAGCAAGTGGTGAGCGATTTGGTGTAGGAGAAGCAACGGCACTATGGAAAACTGCAGAGGGGGCGAGGTGCCCTGGGAGAGAGGAGAATTTAACTGCTGAACTTGAGGTAGGCATACTCACAAGTGTCTTCTAGCAAGAGAGAGTCTGGCTGTGAAACAGTTTTTTAGAGACAACGGGGCAGCTCTTAGAAATGGGGTACCAAAACCAGGTTGGTTGGAGAAGAGAAGAAATCAATCAAAGGAAAAACCTCTGAAGTGTGAGCCTGAGTGTGGGGGGGGAAATGACTCGCCAAGCATGATTGCTTCCATATTGCGAGCTGATTCTAAATCAGTAGAAGAGAGGAGTGAAGTATGCATTAGGGGATGTAAAAGGTGTAATATATTAGGGTTTCAGGAAAGCACTTAATAGCATATCGTGCAAAATCTTAGTTGGATAAATAATTCAATTTGGTCTAGATAGTAACGTTCCGAGATTGAAATCCTGCTAAAAGACTGTCAGCAAAGGCTTGTGATGAACAACAGAGAGGCTGGTTCTGGGGAGATCTAAGGCTGAGGCCAAGAAGATCGATATTAGGGCTGTGTGTGTTTTGACGTCCTCATTAATGATCTGTAAGAGGGAGCAAGTGGTATATATGCATTAATAAAGTCTACAGATAGCACTTGGATAGTCTTGAACAAAACTCAGCATAGAGATGCAGTCCAGAGGACTTCATAGATTAAGACACATGGGCAATGAACAGAAAAAATAGATGACATTTGAAAATATGCTCTGTGTCGATTTGCATTAAAATAGTCCAAACCACATGCACCACCTTGAACAAGGCTGCCTCTTGGCGCAGAGGAGCTGAAGGTGCTGTAAGGCACAAGCATGTAGCCAGTTTGCCATGGGACTTGTGGGACTGCAAAAACCCCAAGTACAACTGCGGCTGCAGACAGAGTCATGTGAAGTCCCTTCTTAGCCAGGCCTGGATGTCTTTCCCTGAAACACTGGTTTTGATTCTAATCCTACCTGATTTAGAGACAAATTGGAAGGAGTCCAGCGCCAGCCTTTGGTAATGTGCACACCCTCACTTAAGCCATTAGGACAGCAACTTGCATAAATGTGTGCCAATTAGGCCTGTGACCATTATTGTTGAAGTCAGTGTGCTTAGAGTAACGTGGTCTTAGGTTGTTTTTATGAGTAATGTTTGCAGGCATGTGGCCTCCTGGAATTTCTGAAGTATTCAAGCATCAAAAATTAAACAATTGTGGCAATACTCAGGGCAATACAATGAGAGAATAGCACGAGAAGTTAGTACAGCCGGCCCTCTGCCCTCAGGATGCATTAGCCTGAGTCCCCAAAGAATGGCTAGAAGAATTTAGTTCTGATCACCTAAAATTGTGTGGGCAGAGTACTAGAAGCTATGTGGCAGGAAACGGTCCTGGCTTACAGGTGTGAGATGTTTTGCTGCAAAAAGGTGTTGTTTTTCTGTTTTGAATGCCTACAAATACCAGTGTTTTAGTAAGACCAAACAAATCCTCTCTCAAATCATGGGCAGCAGGTGCAGTGCATGGTGGTGACTGGCATGAAGTCTATTGTCTCTCCTACTTCTATGTTTATGTCAGTCTGTAACTCTTGTCGCTCGTTATGCTTATCACACAGCTTTTAATAGTTACAGAATGTGCTTGAATTATGTTTGAAATTCAAATTTCACACAAATGGAGGCTTGTTCTTGAACCGATGTTTGTATCAGAGTGGTGGGGGGAAGGGGGCTGGTAGTATTTTTTACATATTGTGTGCACTCACAATTTTTTTTTTTTTTTCCGTTGCAGCAGGAGTCAAAGGAAGAGAGTGGATTGCAAAAGAAAAGAACAAAACAGCAGCTGGATAGAACGAAGTTTGCTGCTAAAAGAAAAATTGCACGTAGGTCTCAAGTGTGGGGTTGGGGAAGTAGATTGGTGCTGAGCAGCTTCCACTGTTTGTGTTAGACATGATTTCCCTTGTGGAAAGGCTGTGATGGAGCTTGGCATGTGCAGCTCTCAGAGAAGACCCTCCTCAATGGTAAAATTTGCCTACCTGAATAGTCAGACTGTTGCTTGTTTGTTCCCAAGGCTGCACGTGCACAAGTGGTGCACTTCTAAAATAGGTGTGCGGGGCTATCTGTCTCTCACTGGGTTTCAAGACTAGTTGAAGCTGGTCTGAAGGCATTTTCAGTCACAAAGTGCTTTTCTGTTCAGGCCTCTTTGCTACTGTCTTTCCCTGAAACCTCATGACGCTCTGACCCAGCAGTCACAGCTCAGGAAAGATCTCAGTCGCAGTAGACAGTTCTCTGAAATCATCCACTCACAGCACTGGGCAGCCAGAAAAGCCAGCAATGTTGGGCATTATCAGAAAGGGTGTTAAAATCAAGCGGTTTGTTACATATCGTTTTACTGTTATATAAAACGTGGGTGCACCCACGTAACACGTTGTGTGCAGTTCTGGTCTCTGCATCTCAAGGACGTAGCAGAGTTACAGGATATCCAGAGAAGGGCAGGTAAAATCATTAAGGGAACGGAGCAGCAGCCTTATGAGGAGAGACTGAAAAGCCTGGGACTCCTCATTTAGGAGAGGAGAAGGCTGAGAGGGATGGAGCCAAAGTTCACATCAGGAAGGCAGTGCGTAAGCTGAACACAGAGGTGTTGTTTACCAGCTCCTACAAAGTCAGAATCGGGATGCGCTCAGTGGAAATAGCAGGAGAGAGGTTTAAAACAGATAAAAGAAGGTAAATCTTTACACAGCACATAGTGAACCGCTGGAACTTTTTACCACAGGAGGTTGTAGAGGGGTCGGTATCAGCAGCTTTAATGATGGTTTAAATGCATCCGTGGACAACGGGTCTATAAACAGATGCTAAAGGGAACAGGCTGGCATGTTCCCTCTAACATCCATCATACAGCAGTTCTGAAAGCTGTGGGTATACAAGCGGAAGGGACCACTGAACGGGCCAGCTTGTGTGTACTCTCTATAGCATCATTTTTTGTTGCACTTGCTGGGCTAGATGGACCATTGCTCTGACCCAGTGGATCAGTTCTTGTGTTCTTACGCTTTGGAAAGCAGTGGTCCATCTAGCATGTTATATTCAGAACATTTTAAAATTCGAGGACGTTTGTCTACTGCAAAACCCAAAGCAATCATTGAACAAAATGGAGCACTCCTGTGCTCCGCAAGCAGCAGCAGTTGGGCATGTCTGTCCTCAGAGGGCTTATGTGAATTAAATTGTTTTTAATAGAAGCCTAAGGCCATAGCACGAAACAGCCTGGCTCTTTGTGGGAGTTGAAATGCACTATGCACGTCCTGTGTCGAACAAATAGGATAACAAAGTCAGGAAGAGGGGAAGAGTGGGGTTTTTTTTTGTTTATTTGTTTGTTTGTTTGTTTTAAGATAAAATAATACCTCTAAAAATCCTCAGAGGTACCATTAAAATGTGACCAAAGATACAGTGCTAAGAATGGCATGTTGCTGCAGTTGGATGTCCTTGTTGAATCTTTGAGTGCGACTGCTTTAAGGAGCTGGTGTGGTGAGAAAGGTGATCTGGGTGCTCTAGAAAATCTTCATGAGACACTGCCGGCTCTCTAGCTGTTGTATCATAGGGGAGTTTTGCTGAGTTTTTTGATGCTGAAATTGTTGATAATAGTTTTTCTCTTCCTGGGACAAATGCTGTCCCTATTTTCTGTGGGTGTCTCTCCATCCTTGAAGCAGCAGATTGGGGATCTCTGCCCAGCAGCTGGTTCTGAGTGTGTTGAAACGTCCAGCCTCACTTGCACCTTGCCCCCAGGCCTGGGGCTTGGAGCAGCGTACAGGTAGGAGAGGGACTAGGATTTAGTGTGTTTCCTGGCTGTTTCTGTTGTGGGCCAGGTAGCTGAGAGTCACCTCCTTTCCCTAATGGGGTTATAGACTGCAGTGAGATCCCTGCATGGATGGGCTGCCGTTCTCACCCGTTCGTCTTGCCTTGCTGCTGCTGAGCACCCCAGCACGCAGCCTGCTCTGTGGGCTGGGTCGTGGTGCCAGGCTGGGGCGCGCAGCCTTGCTCGGGGAACGCTGACGTTCATGGCAGAGCTTTATCGCTCATCAGAGCCTGTGCTGGAATGAAAGGTTATCGGTACGTTTGGATGCCAGATGCTGTTCTCCGTTAGAGAGCGGTCGCCTGTTTATTGAGCACATGTGATGGGTCTGCTCCCTCATTTATTGGAAACTATAATTAGACTTTTGGTGTTTGCTTTTAGGCAAATTAAGATTTGAAGCAGTAATTATTTTTCTCAGTGTCTTTAAATATATTCCTTGAATTGCAAGGCAAATCGGTCTTTTGTAAAGATTTGGTGCTCCTGGGTAGAGTAAGTTCTTTCTCCCCAAAACTGGAAAACTGCAGATATTTGCAGGCTCTGGTTATAAAGCCTATCCTCCCATTTTTCCTTTGTGGTGGTTTTATTCATTTTAACCTAAAGCCATAGCTAAAATATATCTGTGACGTTTCATCCTGACAGGATAAATGGAAATACAAAAAAACTTAAGAAGCCTCTCTCTCTTTTTCCAGATGAAGTCAGTGCTTTAAAGCGCATTTGAATGTTTTTACTGTAATTGCACTTTGGATATGTGGAAATACGGAGATCCTGCATTTCCATTATTTTTGAGTAAATCTCTTATTAGTAAGTGTTAGAACTACAACTACTGGGGTTTTGCATCTAATTCACTTTGCAAACGTCAAAGTGGAACATAAATCGCTTAGCAAATTGCCATATTAGCATTTAAAAAGGCTCCAAAATGGTTTAATTTGTTTAGAGCTGTAATGCCTTCAAAACAGTTTCTCCCTGACCCCTCCTCCTGTGTATTTCTTGGATGGGACTGGTCCCAGAAGGTGGTCTGTGCTGGATTTCACATTGCACTGAGATGGATGTGTCATGAATGGATTTTGAAATATGACATACAGAATTTCCAGCCTGGAATAACAGTGCTGTCCCCACTTCTTGCACCAGACAGCAGACACATGCTCCTAGGAAGAGTTAAGATATGTGTGAGCATAACTGAGTCTTTTCTGTCTGGATGGAGAAGGATTGTTTCTCTGAAAGCCTGAGTAACCCACTGCGCAGCTGGGACACTCCTGAAACACAGCTTGCCCCCAAAACATGCTTTCTGTGCTAGCTCCTCTGAGTTCTTGAATTTGCCCACATCAGTCGGAGGCAAGCACAATACTCAGAATTTCTAATCATCTTAAATTATGACCAATGTAATCAACATCAGGTTTAGTAAAATGCGAATCTCTGCACACGCTGCAGAGAAATGATCAGATGGGAAGCACAGAGTACTGCCGGCTAGTCCGCTCCGGACCCCTCAGCCTAAAGCAGGTCAGCTCTCTTGGAAGGTGCGAGACCAGAGCTGCTCCTTGCTTTTCCCACCACAATTCCAGGTGGATTTAAGCTCAAGATTTCCCCACCGCCAGAGCACCTACTCAGTTGGAATGTGAACTAAGCGCATGTTGTTTGTCGCTGGTTTCTTTGCCAGAGGCAGCATTTGTCTGGCACATTCCCTGTCCCCAGAGGGGAAATTGCTGTGCCAGGGAGGGAGAAGAAAACAAAATGTACACTAGTAACTCGCCAAAAAATGTTTCTTTATATTAAGCTTCATGAATGTTGATAGCCTGAATTGGTGAGCACTTAGGCCCCTGTTTTACTTTAAGCACATGTGAAGTCTTGCTGTGTTCAGGGGGACTGATGACATGCACCGCTTTTCTTGCACATGTCAAAGTTTGCAGGATCTGGCCTAATTTTCCCTGCTGTGATGGTCTGGGCAGGGAAACAAATCAGCACGTACTCACTGAATGCTTGGGAGGTGCTGGGTATTATGGAAGTGCTGAGTATTACTGCCGTTTTGGGGGACGGGGAGCCTTCTTCATGCAGCAGACTGTAGTGTGTTTTCCATTAAAAGGATTTTTTTTCTTTAGTCCCTTCTGGCTGTAACATTATAGAGTGACTTTGTCCAAGGACAAAAGATCCCCGTGAGTCCTGAGCGCACTGCAGTCTGCCTTCACTTCAACCTCTTTCTTAATTTTTAAAGAAATGTCCCAGAAAACAAACAAACAAAAAAACAACTAAGTGCTGATCTGGTAGGACATGTAAGGGAATCTACTGCTGGTATTCAGAACAGTCAGAAAATGCTCGCATCCTGCCTCAGCAGGGAAAAGAACAACCTGACATTAGCAGCAAGCTGGGGGGAGGGCGCACGAAAACCTGCTGCTGTGTGGAGGCCTCAATGCAGTCGTGCCGTAACGCACAGTCTTTGCGAGGACCAGTGCAATGCCAGGCTTCTTCAAGGCTGGCGATGCGGCTGTATTGTGGCGGCAGCTGGTCGGAAGGGGATGGGTTAGAAAATGGGAGCCTGTAACTTCTGAATGCAGCTTTATCCAGGGAAACTTCTGTCTTGAAATTGGCTGTCGCGAAGGCACGTTTTGTGCTTGGACGGCCTTTCTGTTCAATTTTCGTATTTTAAAGCTCGTCTAAGCCATCAGAAAGCAAGCCTTTTGGTTCATGCATGAGATGGCATGTGCACGATTCTGCCTGAAGGAGCGAGGGGGTTTTGAAGGAAATCTGTCAGTTTGTTCCGAGTGTGAAGATGTATTTTTCAGCTCCTGAGAGAGCTTATCAGTTGTTTTCCAAGCTGCACTCTGTTCTTCAGGCATTATATATTTTAAGCATAGTGAAAGTGTTGGACTGAATCTAAGTAAATAGGTGTTTTCCAAAATAACTAACTCCTTTGGTTCTAAATAGCCAACCTCAACTTCTAGATTGCTCTGAGTGAGGAATCTTTTCAGGAAGAAATTTTCTACTGAAATAGCACTCCCAACTCTAAGAAGCCTGTTTGCCATGCATGACTGGCTTAGTGATGCAGTGGAGTAGTGATGTGAGCAGAAGGAGGATGTATGCATGTGAAAGATCCTTCATGGTACCACCGCGCAAGTAACGTTATCCTCTGTAAGGGTTTACACCTGCAGCGTGGGGTGAATAATATGTAGCTCTTCTGCTCTTGGTTAGGTTTCTGTGGTATTGCAAGTATATTTGTGTCAGGCGACAGTGGGACATGCTATTTGGCTAGTAATTAGGTATGTTAGAGAAGGTCTGCTGTTATCCTGCCTTGCTCCTCAGCCTGTCCTATGTAAAAACGTGCATGCTTTGGAAATCCACCTTTTTCTACTCTATCTTTGCACATGCTACCTGTAGCTATAGAGTATGTTGTTGGATGAGAGTGGTAAGATGTCCCAGGGTAGTTAGTACACCTAAGGATTCAGAGTTTAGATTGCTATAGAAACCCTAACTGAATTTCCTGATTTGTGTGCAGTGATTCAGCTCTGCACACATGCACTATTTTCATTTAGTGGTGCTTGCTCCAGCTTGGTAGTGCCTTTTAAGGAAAGCTGAGATTTGGTTGTTTTACTCTGTGCTCATCCTGGGGAGGTGGGACTCTTTGGGCATCTCTCTCAGATGTTGGATAAATGTTGGGTGTTTACGCACACCTGCAGCTGTGACTTGACATTATCCCTTCTTTCTGCCGTAGAGATGACGGAAGAGGAACAGTTTGCTCTGGCCCTGAAAATGAGTGAGCAAGAAGCCAGACAAGTGAACTGTCAGGAAGAGGAAGAGGAGGAGCTCTTGAGGAAGGCCATTGCTGAGAGCCTTAACGTAAGCGTGCTTCTGTGAAGAGGCTCACTAGGGTTCTTCAGAAACGTTGCTTTCTGTGCCTGCTTTGCCATGCTGCACAAAATAAGGTTTTACTGGGGGCCTAGCTATTTCCAGCACAGGCCGGAGATAGAACAGTCCGAGAAGTTGTTTTGTGTCGTTCCTAACGAGGCACGTGAAGTCTACCTTTGGCTGTCCTCTGATATGGGGTGCACAGTTTTGATCGGTGGGGGGACAGTGCCCAGGTTCCAGCAGTCCAAGCTGCAGGTGCCTGTATGCTGGGAGTGTCCTTGGTACGCTCTGCTGATAGAGAATCAACCTTCTGTTTTTCAGAGCTGTCAGCCCTCAGATTCCTCTGATGCAACCCCTGAGTTGCCTGCAGAAGCAGTGGGCAGACCAGGTCAAAACCACCCCGCTGAGCAAGAAGGCTCTGAGATCCTGGGAGGTCTGCCGCTTTGCCCTGACACCCCTCGCTCCGAGTGCAGCTCCCACTCACAGAGTGCAAGAGCTGATGGGAACGGACAGATGGATGTCGCCCGGAGTCCCCTTGTAGTGTTGAGGAGGTTAAGCCAGGAAATCGTTGAAAGCTCACTAGTATCCAGCATAATCGTGTCTCGGGGGAAGGACCAGCCTTTAACAAGGTCAAGTGAAAAGCCTTCCTCACCAGCAAAAAGTGATTCTAGTAGCATGTTACCCAGCACTCTTGGAGAGGACCTCATCTCTTTGAGTCCCACCTTTGGCAGGGTTACTTCAGGCTCCTGGCGGCTGACACCTCGGAGACTGTTCACAAGCCCCTGCAGCCCTTCAAAAGCAGCAGGCCACGAAGCAAAAGAGCAACCCCTGCCTGGCACTGGCCCTTTGGTGGGAGAAGCTGGTGCTGGGAGCTCAGCCGTGCTCTGGAAGACCTGGACCATGGAACAGTGTGACAGTCCCGGGAGGAGCTGTGGAGAGGCAAGCACCAAACACACCTGGCAGCCCAGGCCTGGCACCGGAGTCTGTGTTTCCACAGAGCAAGCAGAACAGAACGAGGGGCCCGACAGTGCCCCTGAGCTTTGCGTGCTCAGCGTGCCAGAGGAGAGCAGAAGCAAGGAGGAAGCGAGAGACACAGTGCACTATTACTGGGGCATTCCGTTCTGCCCCAAAGGGGTGGACCCCAACCAGTACACCAAAGTCATCTTGTGTCAGCTGGAGGTGTACCAGAAGAGCCTGAAGCAGGCTCAGAGGCAGCTATTGCATAAGAAGGAGTTTGGTAACCCAGTTGTGCCCAGTTGTTCTTCCCTGAGCCAAAATGAGCTTGGGAAAGGAGATCAGATAAGTAGGGAGAACGGGGTTACTGATGATACGGAAGATGGAGACTCAGAAGTGCAGAAGGAGTCTGAGAGCATCACCTGGCTCCTTCCTTCAAAGAAGAGGGAGGCAGGGGAGAGTCCAGGGCAGAACGTGGAAGAGGAGAAGAGCTCTGCCTCTGACGATGAACCAACCACCAGCTACTGCCAGGTAAGAGCTTGACCGCAGAACAGAGTTTGAGCAGGGATGAGTCATGCTCTTCCTTCCGGTTTAGCGTTCAGTCCCTTCTGCAAAGCAGGCACTGCTGATGAACGTTCCTCTCGAATGTAGGGACTTCCTCCCGTAGCCACACAGCTTACTGTGAAAGGGAGAGGAAAAGTCTGCAGGCTGAGATCCAGCTCACAAATGGTAGTGGCCACCATGCAGCCTGGCAGTTGTCCCTTAATGCACCACTGAGATGATGACTTCCAGCTGACACTTCTTCTCCGAGGGGTGCGTGGCGGTACGTCAGGACAGCGAGCTCTGAGAGAATGCTGACCACCGGCAGGTCCAACAAAGCAGTTTAGGGACACCCGTGGCCTTGTGGGGAGCTCTCTGTTTTCCTTTGTGTTGTGCTTAGCCATAGCTTTTGCAGACAGAAATGTGGCTTTTATCCTTGCAGTGCATCTTCCCTTTTGCATCTGCACGGTTATTTGTATTTGAATGTGCTTCACCCTTGCATGTGCTCTTTCTCTGCTTGTTCCTCTGGTTGTAGCTGAGAGGCTTTGCATGCTTGCATACATTTTCTGCCTGCCCAGAGGTGATCTGTCATCACAGCAGCCCTCGCTGTGCTTGTTCTGGTGGTTGGGCACCTTCTCTCTATGCTTGCTTGTTGGGTTTGGTAGACGCTAGGTGTCAGCCTCTGTCTCTGTCAGAGCTCTCTTGTTGGAGCGGAAGGCAGCTTTCTGTCACTGCTAAGTTTAAACAGATTGCTAGTCAGATGAAGTATTTATTACTGCTGTATTTTAGGTTTGTGTCAGCCTTTTCCAACCCTCATTTTTCATAATGACTTCACTACCGGATCGTTGTATAACTTTATCTTCTCTATGACTGAAGCCTCAGCTCTGTTGTTCCTGTTTTCAAGTATATTTGATCATTTACCCTGGTGTTAGAAAGATACTTAACTTGTTTTGTGATATTTATATTCTGTCTTGTAATATTGAACACTTAGGAAAAACGTCATGTCTGCATTTTCTGGTTGCAGAAAAAGTGCAGAGCAGCTTGTGCTGAAATGTGACTTTTCATGACAGTGCTCGGGTTGGGTTTAGCAGGTATAGATTTAAACAAGCCTTAGAGGTGACCTGCAGAGGAAAGAAAGGGACTTGTGCTCCTTTTTCATTTCTTTAGGATAGACACAAAGGACCTGAAAGGTTCTTAATGCAAACGGCTTTTTTCTTCTGTATCTTTTCCTTCGGAAATTGAGGTTTCTTTCTTCTGGAAGATTGGGGTGACTGCAGGAGGTGTAAGCTAAAACCGTAGGAAAGCTGCGGCAGCTAGGGGAGGCGTGAACTTTTAATCGTTATTGAGAAATGTGGGGTGTTTTTTGTTGTTATCTGTTTAACGCTAATACGTAATTAATTCTTGGGGAGAAAAGAGGTTTTAGTGGTGCTGAATGGGAACCTGTAATGTACGCGTGCTGACCACAGGAGCTCTCCAGAAGAGCCACAGAAGTGTAGATTTAACCTTTGTGATATTTTAAGAAGGAAAAACAAGGAAGGAGGGGGAAAGCAAACTTAAAATTTCAACCCTAGGCAAAACTCGACGAGTCTTTATTTACTTGAGAGGAAACAATTTCCAAATATCCCTTCATCTGCCTTATCACTTTTAGCTTAAGAGGTTACTCCCTTCTCCTTTTGCTTCTCTTTGCAGTCGCCTGCTGAGGCCAGTGCAGGTGATTTACTTTCAAGATCGATATGTTTGATATTTGCTTGTGCCTAGTCTCAATTTCTTTTCTCTATCAAATGCAATTCCACCGGCAGTGAAAGAGGGGGACCCAGAGCAGTCCCATCCCCAGCGTGCTGCACTGCTCGGAGGCCGCTGCTGCCTGCACCGCCCCAGGGCTCCCCCTGTGCCATGGGGGCTGCTCCGCTGGTGGAAATCACAGGAGATTTTAGGCTGTGTCAAGGCTAGAAAATATCCCTGGGGACTCAAGGCTGTCCTCCGACTCACCGCACCCATCGTTTAAAGCAGTGGCTATTTCTTCAGCAGTTCTTGAAAAAGCTTCTTGCCTTATGTTGTGCCAGTGAAATGAGGGCACAAACGATGTGCTTGAGGGAGCCCGTCTGTACGGCTGCTTTGAAACCTCTCATTTGCAGCGGGCAGCGACCTCCCGTCCAGGCAATGGTCAATTGCTGTGACTGCAACGTGCAACCGAGTACTGGTGGTACAAAGAAAATCATTGTTGTCAAGAGATCTCATAGCTTGTGAACCTGTACTAACAAACTTCAGGGCTGATAGAATACATTTCTTCGTACTCTTTCAAATAAGGTTAGGAGACTCCTAGTCTTCAAAAGATTTGGAGAAAAAAGACCAAATTCTGGAGAGTTAGAATCTGTGATCTGAAGTGGTGCCATACCCTCAAACATATCTATTGGGGATAACAGAAACATGGTGACACAGTATTTGTGACTGGGGCAGAGGTATCAAAAGATATGCACTGTTCAGGGGAAGGAGAAATTAAAATACAGGAGGAGATGTAGTATTTTATGCTAATGATGAGTAACACTGCAAAGAAACAAAGAACATCTTAGATGAAACAGAACCTTTTTGGGCTGGAATCACTTTAGGGAACTCTGGCTAGAGGCTTTGCGCGGGGGTTACTGGGGAAGTACATCAGCCATGCAGGACTGGAGCTGCTCTCAGTTGAAATCTATGGTGAAAATCGAACTTGGAGAGTTTAATATACTCAAGGAAAGGGGGAGAAAGCTCCCTTAGATTTCTTTGAGAAACGGCATGAGAAATTGCAGGTCTGACAGCAAGGACTGCTAATAAACCGTTGTAATTCTGTCTGATTAGAGAACGGCAAGCGCAATATGTACACTGAAGAAGAAGAAAGGGATCTGGGTAATGACTGGCAGGTTAGCCTGACCTCAGCAGTGCATGAGACTTTTGAACAAACTTTGAAGGAAAAAATAAGTAGAGTCATAGAGGTAAATGGAAAATGGGATAAAATGCACATGGATTTACCAGCTGTAGGTTGCGCAGGTTAATCTACTTCCTTGCTTTGATGGGACAGCTGATTTCCTAGTCAAGAAAAATGCAACAGAGCTTGTCTATATGAAATTCAGAAAAGTACTTCTTCTGGTCAGACATCAGCTATAACGGTTGATCCGGTCAGCCAAGCTCAGGCAAGTAGATTTTAAACTGGAATAGATGGGGGCTGCTGGAGTGTTTGAGGGAACGCGAGAGGACGCTAACAAGCGTGGGTTGTTTGGCTTGGCAGAAATGGCGACGGAGAAGGGCTGTGATTGCGGCCTACAAATACATCAGGGTAGATACCAGGAGACTGTGGAAGTTGAAGGACAAGGTTGGTGTGAGAACGATGGGCACAGTCTGTCCGGGAATACCTCTAGGCAGTAAGGTAGCAAAAGGTACTGCCAGCCATTGTTGCAGGGAATTGCCGATACACCAAAAGGAGTGATGGAGGCAAAAAGCTGACTAGTTTAAGATGGATACTTACCATTTTTGGAAAAAAAATACATGACATAGTGGGTTCAATACCACGGACAGAACTTGACGACCCAGCAGATCCCTTTCAGCCCTGTTAGCCACATACGTTGTTTTATATAATATCAGAATTTTTCCTTTTCAGGTCTCCCAGGTGCTGGCTGCAGAGGCTGTGCCTGAAGATGGGGAACCAATGCAAATTACACAGAGGTGAGGAGGGTCATTTCAGAGCCTGGGGTCCATGGCCTGGATTCTTCAAACCTGAAGCGGTTTGAGGCACAGTCTCACTGGGGCTCTCTAGAGCCCTGCGAGCTGCAGAGCCTGGCAGCAGGTCTTGCTGCAAAGCCTGCCTGTAGTTGCTGCTGGTGTATAGCGCTGGAAATACGTTGCATTGGAGCATTGCGGGAGAGACAGGTGAGGCGCAACAAGGCAGAGGAGATCAGTTATTATTGGTACTGTACAAGACATGCAAGGTGGATTCTAGCACAAGTAAAAGGACTTGATCCTTACCCTCCTAAGCTGTGTCTAATTTGGTGTACAGTAAAGCTGTAGGGTGGGGTAGGTGAGCTGAAGGTAAGGTATAGCAGTGGGAGCACGTGGTCTGTCTGTAAAGGCACGTACACAGTGTGGTGGATGGATTACTGGATGTATGCGTGTGTATTTTTATATTCTTGCCTTACTGCAGAAGAGGAAAGAAGGGAGGAGGAAGCCAGACGGCACTGCCTATCAGCCAAAGATAGAGTGCAGTGCTCCAGAAAAGCCACTTCAGCATATGACAGGTGTGGGACAAGTCAACATGATTTTCTTCAGATTTAAGCCTTCTCTTCTTTTTCCTTTTTTTTTTTTTTTCCTGTGGGATGCAGTTCTGCAGTGAAGACTGTGGGAAAAGCAGGGCAAAGGGGAGAGGATTCAAGGAGGAAGTTGCAAGAGAGGGCAGATATGTCATGTTTTTACTTGCTAGGCTTTATAATTCAGACTTATTTTGGAACAAAACTACCAGCTTTTCTCCATTCTAACAATATTTGGTCTGAATAGTTGATATTAATATGCAGGGTTTGAAAATCCCTCTGGCTTGCACCTTTCTAACAAGCTTAAAGCTTACCCTGGGGAGCAAAGGAACCTGCGGCTGCAGTTGCTGCGGAAGCTGATGCGTCTGTGACAGCTGAGTTTTTAGCTGGTATGTTTGTGTAGAAGGTACTAAGGCGTGAACTCAGGAGCTCTGGCCTCCCTCGTGTTTAAGGCAGAAGAGGCCGGGGTTGAATATGAAAAGAGGGATCTCTGTTGTGTAGCTGATGGGGTTAGGGGCTTTTCTGTTTGGGGTGTTTGCTAAGACACGCTGTTTAGCTGGTGAAACCTTCATGCCCTTTGCCAGCCAAGAGCTCCTGGCTGCCCTCCTTAGGGCTGAGTCTCACCTCCGTGTGCTGTGCCCCTTGTCTAGCAGCTGGCACATCTGTAGTAAGACAAAAGATGGCTGCAGTCTTCTCAGTTTTGTGCATGTGAGGTGTTGCCATCTGGCTCCTGGTAATGTGCCAGAACAGTCGTGGGTAAAGCTCAGGCACCCTCATCGGCTGGCCTCAGCACCGCCTAATGGAAAAACACTGCTCCGAGTTGAGTCTTGAGGCATTGAAACAGTTTTGGAAGCAGCAGCGGTGGTGAAAAGAAGCTGCTTTGCTTTCTGTGGGCCACTCTGCCTGATTGTTTTATGCTTTGTGCAGAGTATGGTAGATTGGAGTTTTAATAAATGATTATAGGCTTTGTTACCAGGAGATAGCTGGTGTAGCAAGCAATGTGGTTTGACTTCAAATTGATTAGCCCATTTTGTAAATGTCATAGCAAGTTGTTTTGTGTGAGTTCTTTTGAAGTGAGCCCTGATGTTAGACACAGAGTGAAACATGCTCAGCCTGGATTCATAACAAATGCTTTGAGATGCTTTATTTAGAGAGAGAATCCACTTGTGATTTCCTATCAGAATGTTGTTATTTATCATAAATCAGCAGTGGCTGTTCTCTCCTCTCTAAGGCCTGTGGTTGAGCTTAATAAATCTTCTGTTTGTCAGTATGGGGATTCGTGTTTTTAAAGTGTATCCTTGCATACTTGATCAGATTAATCAGAACGCCATGCAAAGCGCCGAGGGTGCCAGCATGGGTGCCAGACTTACTCAGCAATGCCTGCCTGTTTCAGAAATACATTGCGCTCTGTGGGGAAAAAAATACAGAGGAATACGAAGGTCAAAAAGAGAGGAGTTGTACACAATGCTGCGCGAAGGAACCGCTACGCCAATGTTGGCAGGACTTTGCTGCCGGGAAGCTTTGTATTGTATTTGTATTGTATTGGTGCTGCTTCTGGCTGCCACGTGCAGTGATAAGAAAGAAAATTAGCGGTATGAAGAGGGAAAGAAAAAAAAGAGAGTAATCCAGTGTCTGTCTTCTCTAAGAAGTGCCTTGACACAGGTGAGGAAGTGCTGGTACCTGCAGAACTCCTTAATCTAAAAGTAGAAAAATCAAGAGTCTCACAGATGTGAGCAAGTATTTTCGCTCCTCTCACATGAAATAGTGACCCTTTGTGTCTTTTTATCAAGGGCTTCTAGAAGAAAAATAGTTTCTTTTGAGGTTTACGCTTAGGATAGCATTTTAAACCCGTGTGTTTCTCTGTTCTCCTGGTCATTGGAAATTATCGAGTTGTATGCCTTTCTGAACTGTGTCAGACAGGCAGGTGCATACTGTCACACTTATATGATGTGAGATTTATGTTGCATATTTATATTTTGGCAGCATCTCTGTATTGACCCCGCTTGGCAGTAAAAGGAGTCCAGATATTGCCACAGAAAACTCTGCTGAAGAAGAGGTCACTGTTTGCCCAGGTAAGAGGCACTTGGGAATATTCTGAATATTGCATTGAAAATAACACAGTGATAAAATTCAGAGAAAGGAGAAGAATTGTCAAGTTATTTGAGCAAATC